TAAGTCCGAAATGTAGCGCTACATTTCGGACTTAACGAACCTAAGGCGGGTGGTACTAGAAACGCTTATCAGTTTCTCACCTTCCTGGTGAACTGCTTCTCCAGTTCGGGTCCCCCGTAGACGTAAGGTACGTACCTTAATCGCCTCACCCACAGACCCTCGAGAGTCAATGATTTATTGGGGCACTCTTTTCTATTTAATTAAATGCCTGCTTGTATACGCCCACCCTTGTTGCCCGATCGGCGCCAACAGGTCGCAGTGCCGCTGGTCCTGCACATGCTCTGCGATGCGGAAAACCAGCAGGTGGAGCCCGCCGGGGACGTGGAGACCAAACAGTGCCTCGCGGAGCGGAAGGTGCAGGCCTTCGCTCACCGCATGAACGGAGGCCATAAGACCAAGAAGGCCCGGGAGTTCCAGAATGCGTGAGTCGATCTTAGAAAAAGTTACGTTTGATGATAATATTTTCGTCCGGGCGCGACTGCACGACGGGAATAGCTTCTCCGTCCTTCGTACGAACGTGGCGCCGTGGCGAGTACTTACATGCATCCTCGTAAGCTCCTCGAGGCTAATGTTGTGGAGGACGTGTTGAGAAGGCGTACGCATCGGTGCTTGTATTGTTGCAGGTGTATCAGACGCGCACGGCGGGACCTACTTACAGCAATTTTGCCAAGATCTTCGCCGCAGGCCACCCACCATCTATCACGCAGCGTGTGTTCTCACAGCTTCCTTTCTGTGCCCGTGCTGTTCCTTGTGTAGATTGTGGTACTACCTGTTCGAGTTCGCCACGGGCCAGTTCCGCTTGGCCGAACCCATCCTGCGCGTCCCGAAGAAGGACTTCACAAAGAAGAGCATCGTCACCCACATCGCGCCGTTCGCAGGCAAGTTTTTCCCACACGGCCGTATTTTGTTTGTCGTATCCTCAATACAGCTCATTCAGCGTTCAGGCTAGATCAATACAAAAGGAAGGATAGGGATGCCCCCGATCCGTCCAATTCGAAGCCCTGTCCTCAAAGAGACCGTCATATTCGCATTAATCTTGACTTCTCCTGATCGTGGCGTTTATCGCGTTCGCTTGTCTTCGAATGAACAAACGCAGGCGGCAAGACCGACCTCTCTGGCCCCGAGGTCTCGAACGAGGGNCAAAGGAAGGATAGGGATGCCCCGGATCCGTCCAATTCGAAGCCCTGTCCTCAAAGAGACCGTCATATTCGCATTAATCTTGACTTCTCCTGATCGTGACGTTTATCGCGTTCGCTTGTCTTCGAATGAACAAACGCAGGCGGCAAGACCGACCTCTCTGGCCCCGAGGTCTCGAACGAGGGCGACGAGGAGATACTGGTTCGCGAGACGCCCTTCGACCGCCCCGACGATGTTATCGTCGAGGCTAGCGACCTGGATGATTTCAACAACATGTCGCCCTGAATTTCGTCTGCGCTAAACCCGGCAACCTCTGTCTCCTCCCAAGTATGCCTGACAAGTTTGGGGGTGGGTTTCGAAGGGGGGAGACTTCAACCTCGAAGTTGCTGCTGGTATTTCTTTGCGCCGAGTTAATGTGTTGGCTCTGACACAGCTTCGCTGCTCGATTGTCTCATGTCCCCCACGGGGTTGATGCAGTTAAGACATCCACGCCCTGTCGCGCGGGATGGTATCATCCTGGACACCCGACCTCACCTCTGCGC